GAACTTGAAAACTCTTTGTCATGTTTAATCAAGTTGGCACAATCGCAATGTTTCCATTCAGAAATTCATGCACTTCGTCAATCAAAACAAATCCAAGTATCTTCTAAATTAATAATGCTCAATCCATTTATTGATGCACAAGGAATATTGAGGGTGGGAGGCAGACTGAACAAGGCAGATATCTGTTATGGACAACGACATCAGATTATTTTGGGAAAGGACCATACATTCACCAAACTATTGATAATTCATGAACACTTAAAACATTTACATTCTGGGGCTCAGGCTTTATTATCAATAATACGGTTGAGGTATTGGCCAGTAGGGGGAAGAAATACTATCCGGGGTATTTTGCGCAAATGTGTAATTTGTTTCAGAAACAAACCTAAAGAGTACCAACATATCATGGGACAATTACCAACAAATCGTGTGACACCAGCTCGAGCATTTTCAAATTGTGGCTTAGATTATGCAGGACCATTTGAGGTCAAGGCAAGCAAATTAAGAGGACATAAAGTTATTAAGGGGTACATGTGCATATTCATCTGCTTCGCTACAAAGGCTTGTCATTTGGAGTTGGTCGGGGATCTATCTACTGAAGGTTTCTTAAATTGTTTCAAAAGGTTCATATCAAGGCGCGGTTTGCCTAAAAATATGTATTCAGATAACGCTACGAATTTTGTTGGCGCGAATAATGTAATCAAACCATTATATGAATTTTTGAACGAGCAAACTCATCAGACAAAATTTCAAGAATTTTTCACGGGACAATCGATCAATTGGCATTTTATCCCACCTCGTTCACCACATTTCGGGGGGCTTTGGGAGTCTGGGGTAAGAGTAGCCAAATATCATTTGAATCGAGTTGTAGGAAACTTAATATTGACATTTGAGGAACTATACACTATAATGACGCAGGTTGAGGCATGCATGAATTCTCGTCCATTAACACAATTAACTGAGGATCCATCTGATCTGAATGCACTCACTCCTGGTCATTTTCTAATCGGTACGCCGATTACAGCCTTGCCTGAAGCCGACCTTAAAGACTTCAATCCTGGGCGTTTGAATCGTTACCAGCATATGACGCAATTGGTTCAACATTTTTGGACCAGATGGTCACGTGAATACCCAAGCCTATTGCAACAAAGAAATAAATGGCAGTCATCCACTGATCAAGTATTACCTGGGAACATGGTGATAGTGAAGGAAGACAATTTGCCACCACTTAAATGGCAACTAGCCAGAGTTTTAGAATTATGTTCTGGTGATGACAATGTTGCGCGTGTGGCAGTGATAAAAACCAGCAAAGGGGTATTCAAGCGGGCATTATCTAAACTGTGTATCTTACCTATTGATACGCAGTGAATTTAACATTTTTGAAAGTCATGACGTCTTTCAAGGGGGCCGGCATGATATGTTCATATATCATACTCTCTGCGAGGGATAACGAAGACCCAGTAGATGATAAGTTGAGAAATTTTGCAGTTTGCTATGCATATCAGAAGTTAGCGACGGACAAGAGACGACGATAGTGATCAACAATTTTGATTGACTTTTGCCGTCATTAAATAAAAAAAACTGTCACTATTCTTGATTTCATTTTTTCATGTTATACAGTCCATTAATTTCATTATATGTTTAAATACATACGAGGTTTCATTACATCAAATAGAAAAATTGGGATACACCCTAACAAAGAGCTTTGTTTGCTCCTGCTCGGGCAAGTGAGTCTGCCTCTTCATTGCCCTCGTATCCTGTATGTGCTGGTACCCATGCTAGAGTCAATCTGTTCTGACTGCCCAGTGCATTTAGTGTTTCTAAGCAGTCCCATACTAGTTTTGAGTTAACTTGGATAGAGTTGACTGCTTTGATTGCCGCCTGGCTATCTGAATAGATTGCAATGGTTTTGCTTTTAAACTCTTGCCTTATTAATTCTTTCACGCAATGATGTATTGCAATAATTTCTGCCTGAAACACCGTCGTGTATTTGCCTAAGCTCAGTGGGATTCTTGTCTTTGGCTTGGCCCCATAAATACCAGCTCCTGATTCTTCCTCAGTTTTGGAGCCGTCCGTATAGACAGCAATGTCTGCATTGATAGGATGTCCTTCTTTCCATGCCTCTCTGTCCGTTATACTCATTTCAAAAGTTTTTTCAAAGCTTTATTTTGGAATTATGCCATCCGTTGGCATCCCCATGATGGGGTCGCTTTCCAACTCTTCATATAGCTTCCTATAGTCTTTACCGTGCGCGTTGCTTATGGGTGCTTGACCCCTTGACAATCTACAAGCATATTTTTACTTTCAAACAATATTTTTTGACGTTTGTAGAAGTTATGTAGTTTGCAACTCGAGCGCGAAATACTTTGGTCAACTCGACTATTTTTTTAACTCGGCTACGCCTCTTTAAAAAAATCAGATCTCGATCACCAAAGTAGCATTTCGCGCTCTAGATACAAAAATAACTATTTTCAAACTTGGACACCTTTTATTTCGGAAAGGACGCATTTTCGGACCCATGCTCATATGTTTTTTTTTCATAATTAGTTGAGAGGAATCTCCGCTAAGCTTTTGTCACTTCAACTTTGAAACACTCTGTATGTCCCGAAGGCATGTCAAAATATTTTATTCATCAAATGGCACTCTCACCAATCACATGAACACAAGCAACATCAATATTTGAAGCAAATTCAAGTCGAATTAATGCCATTTCGATACCGATAACTTTTTCTCTGACCTAACCAGACAAACCAGGTTGAACTATCTGAGTCGATCCATCTTGTAGAGGACTGAAGATAATGGGTCAGGAAGAAAATCTTACAGTCAACTCCATCGAAACTATTCTTCATTCAACATTGGAATTGGGACACTTTTCAACATGTTTCGAACCGGATTGTAAGGTGTATACGTTACCTTCGTAGTCTTTCCAAAATGTCTTCATGTAGAATTATCTTTACTTCTCATGGAATTTTCACTCTTGCTAGTTTATACAGGGTGTCCGCTAAAAGGAGGTCAATCCATTAACCATATGTATATTCCTTGAACAAAAATAATATGAGTTTCTAAATACCATTTTTCATTTTAGCCCTTCTTATTCGATATACAGGGTGTCAAAGTTGAGAATTAAAAACTGTTTTTTTCTAATTACTCGCGTAATTAATAAGATATTAATCTCAAAATAGGTACATTACTTCAGCACAAAGAGTTACATCGTGTGAGGAAAACAAAACAGGAAATAACTGTCAAATATTCAAAATACTGGGGGTCAAGTACACACTCACCCCCATATTTTTTTTGTACGTGCGCTAATGACTTCCTATCTATTTTCTTCATGTGTTCAATCATTTTTGAGTTTTTTTTGATTTCTGTAAAATTCCGATAAAATTATTTGTTTTTAAGATAATTCGAAAAGTACTGGTTATTGTTTGATGCCTTGCGGCTTACGGTAATCTCATAATGTTCACATACTCCTATTTATTTCGTCGAAATTGGAAGAGGGCGTATCTTATTACATACGGAAAGGTGAATATGGAAATACCGGGTGCTCAGAGCGAATGTATTAAAATAATTTCTACACTTTTTAAATTTTTTTTTTTTGTAAAAATTATTTTAGTACATTTGCTCCGAGCACCCGGTATTTCCATATTTACCTTTTCGTACGTAAAAAGATACGCCCTCTTTCAATTTCGACGAAATAAATAGGAGTATGTGAACATTATGAGATTACCCAAGCCGCATAGGCATCAAACAATAACCAGTACTTTTCGAATTATCTTAAAAACAAATGATTCAATCGAAAAGGAAAATAGATAGGAAGTCATTAGCGCACGTACAAACAAAATATGGGGGTTAGTGTGAACTTGACCCCCAGTATCTTGAATATTTGACAGTTATTTTCTGTTTTGTTTTCCTCACACGATGTAACTCTTTGTGCTGAAGTAATGTACCAATTTTGAGATTAATATCATATCAAATACGCGAGTAATTAGAAAAAAACAGTTTTTAATTTCCAACTTTGACACCCTGTATACCGAATATGAAGGGCTAAAATGAAAAATGATATTTAGAAACTCATATTGTTTTTGTTCAAGGAATATGTGGTTAATGGATTGACCTCCTTTTAGCGGACACCCTGTATATCTATGAACCAGCAGTTTATATTTTCGGTAGTAGAAACGATTCCAAATCGAATAAGGATTTGCACAATATCTATACTTGTAGGAAAAATTGAATTCACACCCTTGCTGCCAGGTATAAAATAACACAAAATTCTTTGAAATATATAGGCCGCGTATAATATTCAATCATCCACCATCCACATGATACCAAATCATCATCTGATATTGTTTCTGTTAGAACATTGTTTTTACTTAATTGATGAATTTCAGTCAGTCTGAAATGTTCAGCTGACTGTATAGCATTTATTTCGATGATTCCATATAACGTATTACTATGTAATGGATTCTTATAAACTGATTATTCCCGCACAATATGTACTTTTGCCGATCAAAGGAAAATGAATGAAAGAAGTTTCACGCGACACGTTCGGATATTCGCAAATGGGGCATCTTCTCTTCTTTATTTGCATTTTTTGTCAAATCTTTATCACGTGGAGGAAGTATGACAAGATAAATTGTAGCAAAATAAATCTCTGTGCCGAGGTTTAGACTCAAGGGGTCGCACAAGTAGGATTTTGAGAGAAACCAGTCAATTGGTTTCAGATGTGATGATTCTCATCAAATTATCAAATCGAACTTTTGTGCAGATTACTGCACAGGTGGAGTGATTGAATACAATGTTTGAGGGTGCCTTTGGGATATGATATGTCAATTCGTTATCTAATTAATGATAATATTTAAATTAGACACAAGATCAATCAGCATTTTCAGGAAGTTGGTATCAAAACATCAATTTGAATTCATAAACATCTTCAGGATTTTATTAGGATAACTTCAAGATAATGAGAAAGTAAATGAAATTCTTGCTGTTTTTTTTATTACCTGAATCTTTCAGTGAAGTTTTCTCGATCACCAGACTATGCTTCTCTCCTGATTCGACAACTCTCATGCTTTCACTCTGCTTGATGATTTTTCCATTTCTGTAGAACTGGATAGTTGGTTTAGGAATACCTTCCACTTCTACGTCCATTTTCAGAAGGATGTCTGCATGAACAGAGATATCCTCCATTTTCGTCATGATTTTTGGCGGAGCTGATGAAATCAAAACACAGTTAACTCATGCAAATCCTAAACATCATTTTTGGCGCTTTATTTCAGTTGAAGTCTTTCGACAGTGTGTGACTGCTGAACCTCTCTTTATTGATCATTGATCATGTTGAAATTAGGAGATTGATAAACTGCTCGACAAAAACAAGGGAGACATTTATAATATTAACTCATAATCTATCTAGCAGCAGCTTCGATTCGGAATAATCTTGTATGTACAAAAAACATCGAGTGATAATTCTGCTGCATGGTAGATCCAGTAAAAACATTTTCCTACGAGCGTGCGGAAAAGTAACTTTTCCGCATTGTTTTTCGTTTAGAAAGTTGCACTTTTCCGTACGATTCTACTTTTCCGCACGATTTCGGAGGCACCAGAACGTACCCATAGCAACAGTCGCTATAATCTGATGGTAGTGGCAGTCAACAATTAAGCATTTCAGACCAATCTACCTTCCTCAATTCACTACACTAGTAATTCTCAGCAAAAAACTGATCAAAGCATTTCTGTAGTAGGCCAAACACTAACCAATCAAATTCAAATAAGAAACGACGTTCGGCATCTGGTATATTATATAACAGCATGCAACAAACACAAATTGCACATTTAATTTCAATATTTACCATCCACAATGTTTATTTAATGTTATTTGAATGTTCTTCAAATAAGTTTTTTTTTGATATCGATAGTGAATCTTTTTCATTATTTTTCAGTGCATGAAGAAATCGTGCGGAAAAGTTACTTTGCCGCCCTAGTGCTAAGAAGTTACTTCTCCGTACGACTTTTGTATTTTTGAAAATAAGGATATTCAGGACTAACTGAATGATCCATGTAACTGTTCTGTCATATGTGTCATTTTGTTGCCTCATTATAAAATATTGTTCATCAAATAGTATATTATTCAACAAGCATATAATGAGGGCTATTATTCACGAAGGTTAAGTTTATGTCACGAGCGTAGCGAGTGGCATAATTAACCTTAGTGAATAATAGCTCATTATATGCGAGTAGAATACTATACTTTGTCCACGACTACTATATTGTCCTTGATATATGAATTTATTTTCAACAACTGTTTTATCATAACTTATTTGACATTAGGAAAACTGAAAATTGAAGATACCTGTTATATTAATTCTTTCTAAGACTATTATAGGCCTATTCATTCAAATTGCACCCATTATTCCTATTATCATTGTGACCTGATGAGGATGAATTTTATTTCATGAATACTAGTTACGCAAGTTTTTTTCATGTCTTACCTTCATTGCAAGATATTTTTCATCACATGCCTGATTCAAAAATTTCTAGAATTTATATGCTTCTTTCGGATGAAAGCCTGCAGACTTCCTTTTAAGAAGTGAATGCAGTTTTACATAGTTTTTTATATTGACTCCTTGATTTATATTAAGCATACTCCTGAGCATCGAGTGATGTGTCCATAATGTGGATGGCTTATATTTTGCAGCTAATTCTGTGAAATATACCAGTAAGACTGACTCTGAGAATGAATGCATTTTCTTAGACGCCCTCCACAGTTCATGCAGGTGTTGTACACAGATGCATACAAATTTCGGGAGTTCTCCGGCAACGAATTCATTGACGTGACTTTTGCAGCTTCTATTATCTCTGGTGGAGTACACAATATCTCTTCGTCACTATCAATATCCATTTTTTAGGAATTATAACTGAAACACCGCGTGTCGTCGAAATTTGACGTTTCAACAATGACAACTATTTATGATTATCTTGTCATGTTCATACATGTCAATGGCTTCCGTATTCGATATCATCTTGATATTTGATACTAACATCTTATTCCAAGTATACATACATTATAAAGAGAGGAATAATGTAATACTGAGGAGGTATATCAAGATTTCTATATATTTGAATATGATTCGTATGAAGTTAGCTGATTAATGTACCTTGCTATAGCCTGAACGTGTACTGATAAATGCTTGCTCAATACAAAACATTTATCGTGTACCCTACGAACTCTAGACCAGTGAATAATGATTATTCACCGCTATTATTCACTGGTGTGGAAAATGGCTATCGTTTTGCTTGAGGAAGTACATGTATTATGAATATTTTATACAACAGTCGTGGACAAACCCTTTTTTTCAATGTATAATATGGACAAAAATACTCGTATGCGAAACATTGTACAGTCGTATTCAATAAAAATGCGTACAAGTCTTGAAAATAGTGTTTCTTGTCAACCTAGTTTTAGTTGTGTAAAACTGTGCTCAGCCAATGCTTTGTGTTTTTGAGGACTAATCGACAACTTGACTGTCAACATTTGGTAAACAATCATTCTCAATAGTCCGTTTTACCATAGACTACATTTTTGGTTTCACGCTAATAGGATGACATTACAACAGGAGAAAAAACGAACTCAAAGTCGGTCGACCACAAGAAATGAAATTTAGAAAGAATTCAGACTATTTAGCACAGAGAGACAAGATATTTCATTCATATATACTTCAAACACACAATCCATGATTGTTGTAAAACGACGTAATGCGTGGAACGAAAACGGACTTTTCTCTCTCTTACGGCGGCGGAATATAAGGGCAATTCTGCAATAACGACAGATCGCAAATTGGATTACTACCTGAAAATCTACAAATGAGTCATTCTGTGCTAAATAGTCTGAGATAAAGATTAACTTTGTTTTGACGGGCCGCCGACGCAACGGTTGCATCGTCTATCGCCTTTTAGTATGTACAATCTCTGGTATGTACTATAGTATGTACCTGTTAGGTTCTTACTTTTCAATATATAATGTTATTTTTATTTGTAATTTTTTCTTCCTACTTCTACGTTATACCTAAAAAGTAGGTGAAGTTAGATATCTCATACTAGACTGGAACAAGATTATGCATGACAAAATTGCGATACATTTGCGAGACTCTCGTACGAGACGCGAGACAACACAAGACCAGAGGCTGCGAGAAGAGACTCGAGACAAGACTTCATATTTCATCGGCGAGACGAGACGAGACTTTATGAAATTCTCGTCTCGTTGGTCTCGTGTGAATCACTACAGTTTTCCTGATGTTGAACTTACTTATTGTAATGTTCTTTTGGCTTTTCAGCCGGTACAAAGTTTGTTGATTGTGAGGCTGGACTGATCATTATTATAAAGAACCGATTATTACTGATAATTTTTTTTATTGTTAAGATGTTTTTTCCACATAACAGGTATGTCATCTCTTTCTCAGCTACCATTTTGTTCAACACCTGTTCTACTTGTTACTTCCTAGGTACTTTTAATTTGTGTCTGAAGATGGCGGTAGATCCGAAACTATAGTCACACTGATTATATTCTTGATATTGAATATTGTGGTCGACGGACTTTGAGTTCGTTTTTTCTCTTGTTGAAAAATACCGGACCAGTTTGAGAATGTATGGTTTTCATGACTTAGGATGACATTAATTTCTCTCTGTAATATACATGTACGCTTTTTTTTCAATACGACTGTACATTACTCTTTTCCGCCCTTTACGACTTTCCCGAACTCTGCTCCGCGTCGTTCGTGCAACTGCCGTCGCGTGCGCAAGAGTACTACTTTTCGCACCTGTTAGGTCAATAATTCTGCGTGAATAACAAATGAAATTTGACACTTAGGTATAACTCAATTTTATAACTGTCATGTGAGAAACATTAAATAGAAAATCATAGTTTTATTTCCGATGAGTTAAGTGAAATATGACGCACTTCATTTTTACAATAGAAGTTGATTTTACTTGTTTGTTGATGAGGTGTACTATCGGAATTTCAGGAACATTAAGAACATTAATTCGTTTGTTACCATAACATAATATGATATAACATATTTACTTTCATAATTCCAAATGCAACTGAGTGACAACGAGAATAAAAAGAAGTCTCCTGATTGGTTGAAAATAAATTATTGAAATTTTCAATAAAATATTCCTCGTGAATTATAACAACAACAACAACAAAAACTCTTCGTTCATATGAACAAACAAAAAAGGACCCGAAAATGATACATACGAACCCTCTCTATGATATCTAACCAATCAAAAATATCAATATTGTTTTTCTACAGTCAGTATAATTATATGACTATATTTCTATGAATCAACGGAGGCTAAAACAGTTCTTCACTAGATGGATCTGATGTTGATGCAAATGACCATACACCCTATAGCGACTTTGAATTCACCCCCTCATAGCAATGTGCAGTGCAGCTTAGTATGAGGAATATTAACATAGAAATATTGTTGATATCAATGATAGGTATATCCCTTGTTTTTGTCTACCAGTATAAAGCATTATAAACGAGTAAGTATAGGTATATGCAATGTTACTGGAGAAATTTCATCTGGAAGCATATTATGACGTCGTACATGTGAGTGTAGAAAATAATTGGAGTTTTTAAAATTAGAATAGATAAGTTAATAAAGCACCGACAGACAGCTTTTAGTGTACCGTTGAAAGCATACATTTTGGCACATGGTATGGACCAACATCTATTTTTATGTACCTATAGTAGTAGACACTTCCCAATCTTGTGTTGTGATGGTTGATTTTACTGTGAAAATTCAAGGATGAATTATGTGTTATATATTGTGGTATCGTGTAGTGGGATGTTAGCATGAGAACTTATGAAACTGGAAAATATATGAGAAAACAAACAAAATGTATGAATGATTGAACTTGAATAACTTTCATCTTTGCTCAGAGTTGTTCTGGAAAGTTTTCAGGACTAACATGAATATTGTACATTTCAGTGCCTTCAATTTCTGATTACCTATAAAATATTCATCAGAAAGTTGATTATATGTTCGGAGAGGAAGTGAGTATGTTATTCTTCAAAAATATGGGTTCAATTAAATGAGGATATCATACAAAATTCTATGATTAGGATATTGAAAGAAGAAAATGAAGGGTGGAGGGAAAGAACATGGAATGTAATATTTTTACAGAAATTGAGAAATACATTGCTTTACA